CAGGTGCACACGCACACTCTCCCCCGGCTGTAGTCAGGTGCCCACACACACCCTCCCCTGGCTGTAGTTAGGTGCATACACACACCCTCCCCCGGCTGTAGTCAGGTGCACAAGCACACCCTCCCCCGGCTGTAGTTAGGTGCACACACACACACTCCGGATGTGTGTGTGGAAGTGCAGCCAGGCCTTCACTGCCAGCAAGGATCGGGTCTGAAGCCCTCACACTTCCAGAAACTTGTTCTCTACAGAAGCAGAGGCCACACCCGCAGGCCCGGCGCATCCGGGAGCCCTTTCCATCTGACTTCAGCCCCACACACTGCTCTGTCCCATCCTGCCCCAGCAGCTCAAGCTGCCATCACCCCTGGCCTGCATGACAAGGCGGCCTCCCCGAGGGACTCTGTCCAGCCTGCCCTCTCCGTGGCCATGAGTCAGTCATGAGAACGCCTGGCCTCCCTCGGCAGGCACTGGGTCTTCGTCTGGTATTGCCTGCCCTGCTTGCTTCCAGTGTACTGACAGGACCTCTTCTTGCCCCTGGTTCTCAATCTGTTGGGTCTCCTCAACCTCTGGGTTCCAACTCTGAAGTCACCTCTTCAGAGGGACCTCCCCTGATCCCACCTGTCGGGAACGCACTGAGGTGGGCTGCTCCTTTCCTGTATGGTGTCAACCACACATGAAACTATATTATTTAAGGTCAATGATGAGTTGGTTTTCTGTCACTGTAACTGACACACAGGAGGGGAGCTTCTGGGAGGGAACATGTGCATGTTTCAACCTATGGTTTGAATGTCCACAGTCTGATGGGGCAGTCCTGCTGGTCTGGCAGCTGAGCGCAGAGCAGGTGCAGAGGGGGGGACACACGGGGGAGGAAGCGGGACCCAGCACACCTGAAGTAGCGCTCCCTCTGATGAGAACTGCTCTCCAGGGCACAACTCCAAAGACTAGGGCAGGTTACCACCCTAAAACCTCCTAGGCCAGGTTTCCACCCTTCATCCATCTATCCATTACCTGTCAACATACGACTCTGAACTTAAATGTCTGCAAATTTAGGGAGCTAAATCCCATTCAAACCATCCTACTAGAGATTAAAGACTGTGCTTGCCTCATTTGCCTCAACAACTTTAGCTCCCAGAATACTCAGGTCTTGATAAATATTGGTTAAATAAATGGATGGATGAGTTCTGCGGATGGGTGCAGGCACAGATGGCTGGTAGGTGGATGAGTGGATGACAACAGATGGATGGATGGATGTGTGAATAGTTGGCTGGATGGTAGGCGAATGGGTGGAAGAATGGATGGATGAATGGATGAACAGTGGGTGGATGAATGGATGAATAGTGGATGGATGGATGGATGGATGGGTGGGTAGATGGGTAAATGGGTGGATGAATGAATGAGTGAGTAGAAGAGTGGATGAATGAATGAGTAGTGGTGGATGGATGGATGGTTGGATGGTTGGATAGCTGTATGGATGGATGGGTGGATGGGTGGTTGGATGGGTGGATGGATGGATGGGTAGCTGTATGGATGGATGGGTGGATGGATGGATGGATGGGTGGATGGGTGGATGGATGGGTGGATGGATGGGTGGATGGATGGATGGTTGGATGGCTGTATGGGTGGATGGGTGGATGGGTGGATGGATGGATGGATGGATGGGTGGCTGTATGGATGAATGGGTGGATGGATGGATGGATGGATGGATGGATGGATGGATGGATGGGTGGATGGATGGGTGGCTGGCAGGGTAGGTGGGCAGATGGCTGTATGGATGGATGAGTGGAAGGGTAGATGGATGGATAGAAGAATAGATGGAAGAATGAATGCATAATGGCTGAGAGCATGGATGGGTAGGTGCGTGGCAGATGGGTAGGTGCGTGGCAGATGGGTAGGTGTGTGGCGGATGGGTAGATGCATGGCAGATGGGTAGGCAGAAAGCAGGTGGAGGGACTGATGAATAGATGGTCAGAGGCCAAGTGCAGTTTGCTCAGATTAGTGTCCAAGTCCAAGGTCTCCCCATCTGTCTCAGGTGGACTCCTGGGTCTCCTGTGCCAATGGGGCTGGCAAGATGAAAGACACATGGATTCCTTGCACTGAGACACCCTTTGGAAAATTCTCTTACTTTTAAAAGAATTTGCTTATTAATTTTAGAGAGAAAGAAAGAAGAGAGAGAAAAGAGGGGAGGGAGGGGAAGAAGGGGAGCGAAACGAAGAGAAGAGAAGAGAAGAGAATGCTAGCTTCCGGTCACTCCCCACATGGCTGCAGTGACTGGGCTAGACCAGGCGAAAGTCAGAAACTTCACCTGGGTCTCCCATGTCAGTGGCAGCGCCCCAAGCACTTGGGCCAGTTTTGCTGCTTTCCCAGCAGGAAGCTGGACAGGAAGTGGAACAGGACATCTGTGCCCACATGGGATGCCAGCTTGGTAGGTATGGGCAGCTTTACCTGCTATGCCACAATACATTTTTAGAATGACACTAAATACTATAAAGATGAGTGAAGTTCTGCACAGCCATGACCTTGACGGACGTGGCCATGTCTGGGAGCCCTCCTGTCGTGCACTCAGGGGAGGTGGGCAGGGAGTGGAAGGTCAGAGCTGGGCATCTGCTAGGGTAACCGGGCACCACTGCCGCAAGCAGGCAGGCTGAGGCACTGGGCCCTTTCTGCCAGCGTCTCTGAGCAGGCTTTGACGTGAGGGGAAGGGGGCAGAGGGACGGAAATCTCCCCTACTCGGAAACCTCTCCATTGAGTTTTTGGATCCCGTTTTTGTTGTTGTACGTGCAGGGGCAGTCCCTGCCCTGCTCTGCGTAGAGGTAACCCTGCCGCCTACGAAGGATAATTGGCCGGTGGGGCTGGCACAGCACCAGCTCTCCAGCTCTCCCCTGCTTGTTAGGCCGTTTCTAACAGGAATTCTGCAGTGGGCTAACGAGCTGTTGGCGGCCTCGCCTTGCGCTGCCCTCCTAATGTTCTCAGTCGGCGCCATCAGAGGGTATCCTCGGCCTCCGCTTCAATGCCCACACAAGAGCTGGGCCAGCGGCCAGGCCTCCAGGGGCACGGGAGACCCACCCACCTCTTCAGTGGCCGGCTCCCACACTGCCTGCCCATGTCTTCCCACTCAAGTCCACAATCTGGTCTCTAACCCAGCAGGAGCCCACAGGCTAACGTTTGCACCCTTGATGGACAAACCCAGCCACGCATTAGCCAAGGGAACTTGGTTCCATCTCACTGAGTTGTGCAAGGGGTCGGTGAGGATTCTGCTTGCCTGGATCCTGGCCAGTCACGCCTTCACGCAGGGCCTCACTTTGTGTCCTGGGCCATCCCCAGGTGAGCACCTTCCCTTGGCCTGCCCCTCCCTGCTCTCCAAGGCCCTGCAGGGTGAGCTCTTGGCAGTGTCCCGACCAGGGCAAGGCACTGGGTGCCCGGGGGACACGCAGCTCTCCTGAGCATTGAGAGCCACGAGGCCCCGCCTGTCTGTCCCTTTCCAGCCCAGGCGGAGCTGTCTCCTGATCTTGGGGGAGGCAGCAGCTGTCCACCTTGGCTCCGAAGCCATTGGTGACCTTTCTGTGGCCTGGACGCTCAGGTTCCATTACACACACTAGCTCTGACCTAGACCTGGCCAGCGTGACGGGCAACAGGCTCTGCCACAGACACTCCCGAGGTCAGCTGCTGCCCAGGGCCCTTCCGCCTTTCAAAGCTTGCCCCTGAATCCTCCTGGGCAGCCACATGGCACTTCCATCCTAGCAGGAAGGGTCCAACCTGGCCAGCCATCTGCAGTGCCTGTGGCCTAGGCACAGCTGGGAGGGTGCTTGCCATGGCAACGTCAAGGGCTGCCCAGGAGGATTCAGGGGCAAGCTTTGAAAGGCAGAAGGGCTGCTGTCTCCAGTGGCCATGCTTGTGGCCAAAGCACGGACACCAGGATGCGAAACGCACCACTGGCGGCCAGGGCTGCCGGGCCGACAGACCCTGAGACACACAGTGTGTCGGCCACTCCACAGCCTCCTTTTGGATGGTACACCCCGGAGACGGACAGCAGCCCGAAGCTGCCGGGAGCCGTTGAGGGGGACATGCCTGCCGGGAAAGGTGAGACTGCTCCGGAGCTGGAGGAGGTGGGCTTGCCCGCACCATGCTGTGAACTTTCAAACGGCACATTTCCTATCAGGTCAATTACACCTCCATAGAAACAAACCAGGCCAGGCCGGATCCCGCAGTGGAAGATGACAGCGAAGGAACCGGGACCGGGCCTGAGCCACAGTGTCTCAGGCTGCAGGGGTGGGCTCAGGCGTCGCCTGCCCTGTCTGTACACTCCCCAGCCTTGTGCCTCTTGTGCACCACACACTGACTGCTCGGGGTCCACCAAGGACCCAGTGGGGCAGGGGCAGGGCGTGCCATGGGCAGGCGGCCTTCCTGCAGCCCTCACTGGCCCCTAGCATGGAGGCACACACGATGTGAGTCATGCAAGTCCACCATTCACGACACCATCTTCCCTAACTGGGCCAGCAGACCCCACTCCAGCCTCAGCTTCCAGCACAAGAAAGGACATGGAGACCTGAGGCTGTTCCCATAGTGTGTCGGCTGTGCCAGGTGTGAGGCTGTGAGCACAACAAACCGACCCTAACAGGTGGGGCTGGGCAGCTCCGCCCACTCCCCCAAGCCCCGCCTCCCACCCAAACCCCACCCTCCAAGCTCCGCCTCCACCCCAAGCCCCGCCTCCATCCCCAAGCCCCGCCTCCATCCAAGCCCCGCCTCCACCCCAAGCCCCGCCTCCCTCTGCAAGCCCCACCTTCAAGGACACAGACCCGGCTCCCTTGAGTATGGGAAAGCTGCCAGAGTAAGTCTACACCGAAGGCACTGAAATGCCACCACTCGTGGCTGCCCTCTGCCCTCTGAGTGCCAGCCCCATCCCAGGGGCCTTGGCTTCCAGGATCCCAGCACCTGGACACAAGAGGGGTATGAACTAAAGCCACCCGGATGCTCTGGGGGTCTTGGCAGAGAAGGCAGAGCCCTACCTGGCGGCGTCGAAGCTATCATAGGAGCCGACCGTGTAGTGCCTAAAGAGCTTCTTGCTGCGGTCCACGCGGGTCTCTGCAGGAAGAGGAGAGATGGGGGATTAGAAAGGTGCTAGGGGTCCCCAGAACATACCACACCTGCAGGAGGCTGCTGGCCCAGCCCGCATGGGTCCACCCCGACTCAGGTGAGCTCGGCCCTTCTGCCTGCCCTGAGACAGTGCACCTCAGTGCACTGCTGCTGCTCATTGCAGAGCCGGGAGCCCAGGGCCAGCGCAGAGCAGGGAGCCCAGGGCCAGCGCAGAGCCGGGAGCCCTGGGCCAGCACAGAGCCGTGAGCCCAGGGCCAGCATAGAGCAGGGAGCCCTGGGCCAGCGCAGAGCCGGGAGCCCTGGGCCAGCACAGAGCCATGAGCCCAGGGCCAGCACAGAGCCGGGAGCCCTGGGCCAGCACAGAGCCGGGAGCCCAGGGCCAGCGCAGAGCCGGGAGCCCTGGGCCAGCTCAGAGCCGGGAGCCCTGGGCCAGCTCAGAGCCGGGAGCCCTGGGCCAGCTCAGAGCCGGGAGCCCAGGGCCAGCGCAGAGCCGGGAGCCCAGGGCCAGCGCAGAGCCGGGAGCCCTGGGCCAGCACAGAGCCGGGAGCCCAGGGCCAGCTCAGAGCCGGGAGCCCTGGGCCAGCACAGTCAGGAGCCCTGGGCCAGCTCAGAGCCGGGAGCCCAGGGCCAGCACAGAGCCGGGAGCCCAGGGCCAGCTCAGAGCCGGGAGCCCTGGGCCAGCACAGTCAGGAGCCCTGGGCCAGCTCAGAGCTGGGAGCCCAGGGCCAGCACAGAGCCGGGAGCCCAGGGCCAGCTCAAAGCCAGGAGCCCAGGGCCAGTACAGAGCCGGGGGCCTCAGAGGCGAAGCAGGCTGGGGTCTGGTCCCGGGATGGGGGCTGTTGTGGGTTTCAGCAATAACCCAAACAGCACACAGAACCTGCTGGAGCTGCACTGTGAGACGGAGGGCTTCCTGGCCCGTCCACCTGGAGCCGCACTGTGAGATGGAGGGCATCCTGGCCCGTCCACCTGGAGCCGCACTGTGAGATGGAGGGCTTCCTGGCCCGTCCACTGCCGTGGGGGGCAGGGAGAAGAATGTTTAGTGTGTGTGTGTCTTTTTATTCTAATGTTGCTTTTTCCTAAAACAAACAAAAAAGCACTTAGCCACTATGACTGCTGTTCCTAGGGAAGTCCCCTGCTTCCTGACTCTCAGTGTACTAGGAACTGAATTTCACGGGAAAGGCAAGCGGCCCATGATTGTTAACTGAGAGGCAAGGCGTGTGTGTGTGTGTGTGTGTGTGTGTGCAGGGGGGGCCCACCTCCCACACTGGGACCACTGGGACGCCCGCCATGCAGTGTCTGCAACACTCCACGCATGGCCTCTCTGCTGCCCCCTCGGGGAGCTGCACTGAGTGACGCACTCCAGGCTGAAGCTCGGGGCTGCGGGCTCTCCGGGTGCAGTCTCCACCCAGAGCCCAGCACGCTCATCCAGGGCTCCAGAGGGAACCTGGACAAGAGTATTGGCAAAGAAGCCACCGCTGTGTGCCCAGAAGGGCTGGCAGCTGGCAGTTTCACCAACGGGCACACTTGCCTCTCTTTTCTCTTTTTGAAAGAGATGTATTTATTTGAAAGGCTGAGAGTGAGGCAAGCTCTTCCACCTGCTGGATCATTTCCCAGTGCTCCCAACGCTCAAAGTCAGGAGCCAGCGACTCTGTCGGGTCCTCCTCGGGATTGGGCCATCACTGGCTGCTTTATGGGCACATTAATGGGAAGCTGGATTGAAAGCGAAACAGCTAGGACTCAAACCAGTGCTATGGTATGGGATGTGGACATTGCAAGCTGTGGCTTAACCCACAGCGCCAAAACCCCGGACCCTTGGGAGCAGGAAAAGCTGGGGAGCCCTGGACTACATTTCCCTACTGTCCTTCCACTGAGGGGCAGTCATGTGACCAGCTCCTGCCAATGGCGCGTGACCACAGCTGGACCACATTTCCCAGCTGTGGTCACGTGATCAGCCTCTATGGCCTGGGATGGTAGCAGGGGGAGCTTGCTCTTGCCCTTCCTGCTTCTGAACACTCTAAGGGGGGGAACTCTGAGCCCCGGAAGACAGCGGTGCCCACAGTAGAGTCAAGCTGGGGCCCTGGGCCCTGGACAGCAGCAAGAAACCAGCAGGCCCGCCATCAGGCTGCGCTCTCTGGATGCATCACCGCGGCTACTGAGGCCATCACGGACCGTGACGACAAGGCTTCTGCACCCTGTCCGCCCCGTCTGAGCTCGACAAGCCCCCAGCAGCCACACACTCTCCTTGCTGCCGCCCGCTGGGTGCCCCCTGTGTGCCAGGCCCTGTGCGCAGCCAGCAGAGGGCTCCAGGGGTGTGAGCGCCAGCCTCGGACACCCTGCTGTTAGCTAAAGGAGTGAGTCCACTTCAGCCACAGTTTGCAGCGTTCTGCCACGTCCAATGTCCACGGCGTCACAATCTCCTGCCACTTGCTCTGGTATCCAAGCAACACAGCAAACACGCCGTCGGTCACCACGACGGACGGCTCATCCCCTCCACACGCCGAGCACACAGTCCGGGCCGCCTCACACCGTGGACAGATCGCTGCCGAAGAGGTGGCCCTCTGGGCGGATGACCGGCGCCCAGTCACCTGTACATAAGACCCCCGGGACGGAAAGCTGTTAGGCAGCTGGGTGCCCGTCAGCCCCGTGTCGTCACCGTATCACCACGTCCTTCCCTGACACCGGGATCCGTGGCCGCCTGGGCACATCACGGGGGCGGGGCCACTGCTGACAGTACGGGCTGCCACACTCCCCTGCCTGGCAGGACCCTCCCTGGCCCTGGGACATGCCACACACACTGGCCCATGCTCAGACATGTTGTCTTGGTTCACTTCTGCCCCTAGCACCCCCAATCCCGTGTCTGGGTTTGTCTCTGCCCTGTGCCCCAGAACTTGAAGGCAGGGTCCTTGGGAAGAGAATTGGCGTAGGAGATTGCAGAGTCATGGGGACGGGGACCTTGGAGATGGCAGTGGCTGAGAAAGAGCTGCACTGCCTGGCCGTGGGATGGCCAGGGCTCTTGTGGGCACTGCATCCTCCCCAGCAGAAGGGCCCGCTCAGGTGTGCCTGCACAGTGCCACGAGCTGAGCGGACGTTCACCACAAGTCCCCCGGCCGACAGCTTCTAGTTACACAGAAAGTGGGCTGAGGCAGCCGGAGGTGACTCCGGTTCAAAATGTGACTTGCTGACGTCAGAGACGCACTCTAGAAGCAGCACGTGCGCGCACACAACACACACACACACACAAAACACAACACAACACACACACACACACCACACACACACACACACACACACACACACACACTCACCACCCCCCCACCTCCAGGAAATGGCCAGCCCGGGGACAGCCAAGCTGCCCACCCGGCTCCCCATGCCTGCTGGAGAGCTCCTCTGGTGTGGGGTCAAACGGGGAGGGGGTGAATTCCTTGTGGGGTGAAGCCCAGCAGTTCGCAAAATCCTGCAGGCGCGCAGCACTGCCCACGTGCCCAGCACTCTGCTCGGCGGCTGACCAGGAAACCCCGCGCAGACCCGACTGGGTGAGGATCTGCTGAGTCAGCTCTGGGCTCAGGGCGGAGAGCAGCACTCGGTGGGATCGTATGTGTGTGGGAGAGCGTGCATGTGTGTAAGGCTGTGCATGTGTGTGTGCGTGCGCATGTGCGGGTGTGGACAAGACAACGCTCAGACCCAGAACAGGCTGCAGTGAACCTCTGGGACCAGTGGTGTTTCCACCAAAGTGGGGAAGCGGAGAGAGTGACTGTCACCTCCGTCAGCATCACCTCCATCATCACTGTCACCTCCGTCAGCATCATCTCCATCATCACTGTCACCTCCGTCAGCATCACCTCCATCATCACAGTCACAGTCACCTCCGTCAGCATCACCTCCATCATCACAGTCACTGTCACCTCCGTCAGCATCATCTCCATCATCACAGTCACTGTCACCTCCGTCAGCATCACCTCCATCATCACTGTCACTGTCACCTCCATCAGCATCACCTCCATCATCACTGTCACCTCCGTCAGCATCACCTCCATCATCACTGTCACTGTCACCTCCGTCAGCATCACCTCCATCATCACTGTCACCTCTGTCAGCATCACCTCCATCATCACAGTCACTGTCACCTCCGTCAGCATCACCTCCATCATCACTGTCACCTCCGTCAGCATCACCTCCATCATCACTGTCACCTCCGTCAGCACCTCCATCATCACTGTCACTGTCATCTCCGTCAGCATCACCTCCATCATCACTGTCACCTCCGTCAGCATCACCTCCATCATCACTGTCACCTCCGTCAGCATCACCTCCATCATCACTGTCACTGTCACCTCCGTCAGCATCACCTCCATCATCACTGTCACCTCCGTCAGCATCACCTCCATCATCACTGTCACCTCCGTCAGCATCACCTCCATCATCACTGTCACTGTCACCTCCGTCAGCATCACCTCCATCATCACTGTCACCTCCGTCAGCATCACCTCCATCATCACAGTCACAGTCACCTCCGTCAGCATCACCTCCATCATCACAGTCACTGTCACCTCCGTCAGCATCATCTCCATCATCACAGTCACTGTCACCTCCGTCAGCATCACCTCCATCATCACAGTCACTGTCACCTCCGTCAGCATCACCTCCATCATCACTGTCACCTCCGTCAGCATCACCTCCATCATCACAGTCACTGTCACCTGCGTCAGCATCACCTCCATCATCACTGTCACCTCTGTCAGCATCACCTCCATCATCACAGTCACTGTCACCTCCGTCAGCATCACCTCCATCATCACTGTCACTGTCACCTCCGTCAGCATCACCTCCATCATCACTGTCACCTCCGTCAGCACCTCCATCATCACTGTCACTGTCATCTCCGTCAGCATCACCTCCATCATCACTGTCACCTCCGTCAGCATCACCTCCATCATCACTGTCACCTCCGTCAGCATCACCTCCATCATCACTGTCACCTCCGTCAGCAT